GTGTGTGTGTGTGTGTGTGTGTGTGTGTGTGAGAGAGAGAGAGAGAGAGAGAGAGAGAGAGAGAGAGAGAGAGAGAGAGAGAGAGAGAGAGTTATTTGGTGAGTAACCCCCCCCTGCCCTGCCTCTATTTGTGTCTCTGTGTGCGACATGATAGCGAATTTTCATCGCTGGCGAGTGGTGGAGGAACTAGGCCGTATTTCATTTTCTTCTCTTTAGCATCCATGGCCTCCTTTCTCATTTGGTTGTCTTCTCATTCACATCCTCTGTTTCTCGAATGCTCAGGGCACGTCCCATAAAAACTCTGCGACGTCCAGGTTCTTCCCCATCGTCAGTCACTGACTTAACCAATCAGTCAGTCGATTGATCAGTCGATCGAATGATGAATCAACCAATCACACCAATCAATCATATGAATCACATCAACCAATCAAATCAATCTGCAATCAATCAATCAATCAATCAATCAATCAATCAATCAACCAATCAAACAATCAAACAGTCAATCAATCAATCAATCAAACAATCAAACCAAGTAATGAAACCAATCAATCAAACCTAGCAAACAAATAAATCGAAAGAACCAATCACAGTCAATCAATCAATCAATCAACCCAAGCAACAGTCGACCACATCAGTCAAATCCATCGATCGTACCAATCGATCAAATCAATCAAATCAAGCCACTCGATCAAATTANCCCAAGCAACAGTCGACCACATCAGTCAAATCCATCGATCGTACCAATCGATCAAATCAATCAAATCAAGCCACTCGATCAAATTATATTACTCAACCAATCAATCAATCAATCAATCAATCAATCAATCAATCAGTCAAGCTTATGGATTAACGTACATTCCCCCTGAGGTTTTGGTAATCATCTTCCCTCCTTCCTGTCGTTCTTTGATGATATGCCTTTATCCTTGTCTGCCTGTCCACATGTCTCTCCTCCTACTCCTCTCTCCTGTCGATCTTGCATATCGTGTTCTTTACTGCACTCTCTGCAATCACGCCTCCTGCTCCGGGATTCTACTTGGTTGATTGATTGATTGATTGATTGATTGATTGATTGATTGATTGATTGATTGATTGATTGATTGAATAACGCCATCACGCCGCCTCTCCCTCGACTTCGTGAAACTTTTACACAGTAATTGCTACCGCCTCCTTCTCCCCCCGCCTATAGTGTATTCAGCCTCCTGATGATGAGTCGGTGATATATCGTCAAACAGAACTTCCCCGAAAACATGTAGGCAGAGAGGGAGGGAGAAGAGGACAACAAACGGGGGGATGTGACAAAGTGTTTCGTCGGAGTCACTGACTCATCAGGAGGATATATTACAATATATATATGAGTCGGGTGAAACTCCTACGAAACAGTTTGTCACAGCCCCTCGTTTGTTGTCCTCTTCTCTCTCTCTGCCTACGGTTTACCGGGGAGTTCTGTTTGTGACAATATATATATATTTATATAAATATAAATATCGTGAAACAGAACTGTCTGGTAATGTAGAACAGAATATGTAGTGAATGAGAACATAATACTGTATATATGCACTACATGGCGGCCTTATTCAGACAGAAGAGAAGGCAGATGAGCGACTTCGTTTTCCACATTGATTTGATTCATCAGTGGACACAAGATGACACCCCCCAAAAAAAAGAAAAAAAAAGAAAGAAAGAAAGATTATGGATTAGACCGCACCATCCCCCATCTCTTTGTGAGATGCCCGGTGGGCCGAGGCTTTTGGGAGTGGTGGGCACAAAGAGATGATGGACAAACCCCCCTCGGGGGTCACGGAGGCGGACGATGCAATAAATAATCCTTCTTGGGGCCCTGATGAAGGTGTACGGGTCACAACCTCATGATCAGATGGCTGTAGAGCTCATTAGGCCGGCAGTGCTGTGTGGTTTGTGGACTTTGACGAACGAGCGATGTACGCAGGGGAGCTACGCCGCCGCCGCCAATGCGGGCCTACCAAGATAGGGCGATGGAGTTGGAGAACATCAGAGAGTTGCCCTTTTGGGCGGGACTAGTACCGAAGCACGCGCAAAGGAAGGCAGGAGGAGGAAGGAGGTGTTTTTCTTGGGGCACGATGGCCGCCTTACCTGCAGCTGCGCACCCTTACACCCACCCCCAACCCCAGACGGCTCATGCGACCTGCGCTGAGGCGACAAGTGCCAAGGATGGGTGGAGAGGGGGAAGAGGAGGACGAGTAGACGGAGGGGTATAGAGGGGTTATGAGAGCAACCGGGGGTTATGAGAGTAACCTGTTTGCAACATAGGAATGGTAATGAGAAAAGCGGGATGGGACCAGTATTATAGTAAAGAAGAAGATTTGGTGAGTTGAGTTGATGTTCCATGCCTTGTGTGTCTCCACTCCAATTACAGTATATAGGGAAAGCAATGCTGTGCAGACTCCACCCAAATCATCCTTTTACAGATTGCGAGTCATGGCTGCACATGCTGTTTAGTGTAGTTGGTTCTGCTGAAAGTGTTATTTGGTGAGTTGATGTTCCATGCTGCTTAGTTTACCTGGTACAGCAATGCTGTGCAGACTCCACCCACTGTCGACTGTCGTCAGCGGCGAGCTTGTCAAGCCTGACTTGAGGTGTGGGTGGGGACTCTGGCTGCTGCATAGATGCCGTAGGTGCCTCCTTCTCGAACTCGCATGTGAGGAGCCGTGTGTTTGTGAAAGTACCAATGACTCAATAATGAATCGGTTCTTTCTCTATTCTGAGACCCATATGTGTGCATGTGTATTGGTGCCTCTGAACTATCTATCTAGTAGTATTCTATACACATTTCTGGTTCAGTTTGTGCTTTTTCTTTTCTCCTGTCCATCTCGGAGTTTAATGATAGTTTGTTCAGTTCATTTTTCTGGGCCCTATATATGTGTGTGTGTGTATGTATGTGTATTGGTGCTTCTGTCTTTCTGTTGATGCTTGTGCTTGTGCTTTCTTCTTTCCACTTCCATTGTTTCATAATGGTTTGTTCTGTTCGTTTGAGTGATATCAGATGTCCGAAGGATCTGTGCTTAATGGAGCAACGACGAGTCCAACTCATGTGCTGAACTCTGTTATCATACATACACGTGAATTTTTGCCACAAATGGTTTCAACGATGGTGTACTGATGGTCAGATCGATGGTGGTGACAATTTGACAACACCTACAGGGGAGTCGAGGGGACCGAGATTGACATCAAGCTGAAGATCGAGGTGAAAACTCTGTGTGTGTGTGTGTGTGTGTGTGTGTGTAGAGAGAGAGAGAGCGAGAGAGATTGACATCAAGCTGAAGATCGAGGTGAAAACTCTGTGTGTGCGTGTGTGTGTGTGTGTGTATATATATATATATATATATATATATATATATATAGAGAGAGAGAGAGAGAGAGAGAGAGAGAGCTGGTTGGTACATGACGTTGTGAGAACTGGCCTGCTGGGAAAGTTGGCGGGATGGAAAGTTGCTTCGCCACCGCTGCGGTGTCTTCAGCAGCCCGAATGTGGACTCACCATCGTACAGATGCGATCATCCATGAGCGATTAGGAGGTGTCGCCGTCGCTCCATTCCTTCCAGACACTGATGTCAAGAAGTACGTCCTCTATTGAAAAATGTGAAACCACGATGTGACAAATGTGCACTTTTTGTCTGCTGCTGACCTCCTTCTCTACCTAAGTATGTTACTCAACAGGATTCGACTGTCGTTCTTTCTCTGTATTTGAGGGTAATTTCAGTTCAAATGTCAACACAGCACCTTATATAGACTGACCGGGCCCACTGACCAACAGACCACCAATCAAAAAGAAGAGGGGTCCCCGCCCTGTAGGTAAGAAAGGATGTAGGACTGGCACGGGCAAAATCAGACCCCTCTGGTCACAGCAGGACCCACTTATGCCCCCTCCTTCCTTTCACTTGGTCATACTACCGTCTTCCCCCGAACATAATGCAGCCTAAAAGTGAATGTATACAAGCTATATTTCCGGCCAGATACAGCCAAAATGAGGGTGCGTTGTGTTCGGGGGAAGACGGTAGTAGGACCCGCTTCTGCTGCTGTCGTCCCCGTGTTCCTTCGTGCAACCCTCTCCTCCTGCTACCTCCAATGACCCCTTCTACCTTCTTACCCCGAATACAGCGTACGGTCATTATAGCTGTATTGGGGGCATCTTTCAGTCTAAATACAGCTATAATGACCGTACGTTGTATTCGGGGGAAGAAGGTAGTTCAATCCAACCCCCGCATGATTCAGATCAACCCCTTCCTTCCCCCCCTTGCGCTGTTCCCCCACCTGCAACAGCGTTTTTGTCTGCTCCTTCCCCTCCTCCTTTGCTTGCATGTCCTCAGGCGTCACTGTAGAAATGTCTGTAATCGAACTACCGTCTTCCCCCGAACATAACGCAGCCTAAAAATGAATGTATACAAGCTATATTTCCGGCCAGATACAGCCAAAGTGAGGGTGCGTTGTGCTCGGGGGAAGACGGTAGCTGGACGGGCAGACATACACACAGATTCCCTCAGCCGCATGTGTGAGACTGTCAGCAACGTGAGACAACAGATGAAATAATCTCATTGATCATATTGTTAAGACCCGGACCAATTGCGAAGTACAAATTCACCAATCAGCACAATGTTCACCAACTGCGAAAGGAAATGAATGGACTTGAGAGAATGGAGAGGATAAGAAGAAGAAGAAGAAGTAGAAAAGATTGGAAAAGACAATGTACACCAGCAAGAACCAATGTCAAAGCTCTTCTTCTTCGCTCAACTCCCTTGCATCTTATCTCCCCCTCCTCTTTATAAATTCAAACAATAAATAATACAACAATGTTGGAATGAAGGTCCAGTATCACTGCCCAAGTCTCTCTTCTACAGCTGGACAACTATGAGGTCCACCATAGCCATAGCCGCCTCTCCTTCCTAGGCCGAGGCTAT